TTATCATTATCGTTATTATTATTATTAATATTATATAGTGCATTTTAGATATAAAATAGAATAGAATAGGATGGAATAGAATAGAATAGAATAGAATAGAATAGAACAGAATAGAATAGAATAGAATAGAATAGAATAGAATAGAATAGAATAGAATAGAATAGAATAGAATAGAATAGAATAGAAGAGCAACATCCATTAAAACATCCAGTAGCTGACACATTAAATGATCTGTGAGGTCTTCTGACTTGAAATTTCACAGACATTTTTGGAGGACACCTGAGACTCAAATTAAATCTTGTAAAAAAGGCATTATTTGACCCCTTTAAACATTTTATTAATTAGTCTAACATTAATTTGGTTACTAAATTTGGTTAATAATGTCAATGGAAAAGGCAAGTATGTGCAGTTGACCTTAATGTGCATATTGAATTATGAATTATCCACTTCTTTAATTTATGTAGGCTTTTTGAGGGTGGTGGTGTGCGTGTGTGTGTGTGTGTGGGGGGGGTAACACTTTATAATAACTACACACTATGTAGTTATTAAAATCGGCAACACATTGTAATAACTACACACTATGAACCATTTATTAAGCATTAGCAAACAGTGAATTCATTATCTGTTAACTCTACATTACCAGATGCTAGTAAGCAGTTTATAACTACAGCTACAAATGCTCTATTCAGTCACATTTATAACGTGCTTAATAGTATTTTCATACTTTGTTAATGACACATTTTTCATTACTAAATGAAGCATTTCATTATTTACAAACCAGTTATTTAAGCTTAGTTGGTGTTTTTCTAAGATTATTCAGAACGAGTAAGTAAATAATTAATAAACTATCAAAATTAACATTTATAATTCTTATTATTCAGGCATATAGTAATAGTTAATTTATAGGTTAATAGATGCTTTATTAACTTAACTTTCAGCTTGACTTACATCCAGTTGTGTGACCTAATCTAAAGTGAGGACTATTCGTGCTTTATAAATCCCTTATAAATGACAATTAAAGACTCAGTTATATTCTAAACAGAAAAAAAGAATGTAAACGGCATCATTCATTCCTGTTCGATTAAAGATATACAAATGAAACTGTATCAAATGAAAAATAAATCTTTGCAACCTTATCTCAATAAAATGACTGTACAATTTAAACACTGCATCCTATTATATTGTTGTTTTAATCAATTTTATGTTATATTTTGACACTCCTGTTATAAAGCATTTATTAACACACATAGTAATTATTACTATATATAATACTAGTAGTTATACTATATATAACTCTTTCTGAATGATCTTAAAAACCTCCAACTACTCTTAAATACAAATGGTTTGTAAATGATGCGATGCTTTATTTAGTAAAACAAAATCAACCAGACACAAATGATGAAAGTACAATTATAAAGCACATTATAAATGCGTTTATAAGTCAAGAATAGAGCATTTGTAGCTGCAGTTATAAAATGCTTACTAACATTTATTAATGTAGAGTTAATGCTTAACAGATAAGGAATTCACTAGATGCGAGTGCTTAATAAATGATTCACAGTGTGTAGGTATTATAAAGTATTACCAAAAAAAAAAAAAAAAATCCTATATTCATAAAATTAATTAAACACTTTTAAAATAATTCATTTTCTTTTTGCCAATTTTACAAGAATATAAACCCTTTTTTAAACTGAAATATGCTCTTACAGAATATAATCCAATTTACATCACGGAAAGCATGCTTGCAATGGCACAACAATTGTTGTTTTCTATGTACGACTGTTTATTTCTGAATACTATTATCTATGAAGGATTTGTGGGGTTAGAAGCTCATAATGCACAGTTAAAATACTTGTATATCAGGAGGCTATTTATTTTCTTCTGAATGAAATGATCAAACGTGATGTGCACATCAACACAGCTTTTTTTCAGACACATTTTAGACGCATTGCAACTTATTTTTCATAAATTAAGCATTAAGAGCGTGTCTGAATCCACTTTTGCTATTGTAAGGACAGAAGAACATGGTTTGCACCCAGCGCATGGTCTAACAGGGCTGTGCTCATTCTCTTAATGAGTTCTGGGTGTTTTGAGCATAACGTGCATTAAACCAATCTCATCTCTCATTCCCTTTAAGAGTCAGTTGTGTCGCTCCATGGTGCATTTGCTATTTACATGGCGACTTTGTAAGTGTAAAAACGGAACGCTTCACTAGTGAGAAAACAGTTAAACAGAGCATCTGCAGCGCAAGGATAAAGAACGAGCCTCCTCCATTCAGCCTCTTTACTTTCTCTCTTTACTCCTATACTTTGGTGGAGTGAGGAAACGGTGGAAACTCACTCCACTGAACACATTCATTAGCCCACACATTTAACTTCATTAAGCTTAAAGATTTATGTCAAATTTATTTATAAATTCAGTTCTAATCTGCAGCAAAGGAATAAATGAACAATAATAACAAAGTGTGGTCAGAAAACTGAGTTAAGGGCCGATCACACCAAAAATGCTTTTTCCGTTGAGACTAGGCATGTGACAATAACCGTTTTTAAGGTATACCGCGGTGAAATTTTCTCTAATAATGTTCCTACGTTATACATAAGATTTTTATTTGCTCTTTTTAGGACAACAGTATCTTCAAAAACAATTGAAACTAATAAAAACAGCAGAAGTCAAAGATTCATTTTAATTATTTAGCCTGACATGTTCACTGTTCCAAGATATTATAAAACTTTAAAAAATAAAATATACTGTTTTCAAGGGGGAATAAGTTTTTGTTTTTTACCCAGACATTTAAAAAGAATATATTTAAGAGGAGTAAGCACAATACCGTGATATTTTTATCCAAGGTAATCATACTGTCAGAATCTTATCCCATGCCTAACTGAGAGGCGCCTTTTTTGAATGATTTACTATCAGCTGTAAGTGTTTTGCGCGCTGCTTATGCACCCTGTGCACCTCAACCGCCTGCTGCAGAAGTAGAAAAAAGTTAACACTGTGTGATCGGCCCTTTATATCCAAACACACGTCCTGTTCTTATGCCCAATAGGTGATGCAGACGTCTCCAAAACCTTACAGGTGGACAAATCTACACTTGATAATCTACGTTTATTGAAACAAATATAAATCTGCAGTTAATAGACAATAGTGCTAATAATAATCACATTATACAGATGCAGATGCTCATGAAAAAACTGAAAAAGCCCCTTGTTATGTATTTGTGTTTTTTGTGCTCTGTTGCTCTGTGTTTCTCTCTCTCTCTCTCTCTCTCTCTCTCTCTCGCTCTGTTCTCCCATATCTGCTTTCATGTATTCTCAGGTTCCATTCATTGGTCCATTCAGCTGTCAGTCAATCCTCCCCGGTTACGTCACTCTTACATCATATCCAATAAGCAAAGACCACCCGTGTTAAAAGCGCGTTAGACCACTCGCCTTCCCTTGCTTGCATTTTTCTCTTTTGCTGCTTCGGCATTTGTTTGCATTTGTCGTGTGCGTTTAGAAATAACCCTGTCTAACTGTGTTTTGTTGTCGCTCGTTTCTGTGTGCACGTTATCCGTCCGTTATTCGTACATCGTTCTTAGTTTATCGTTGTTTACGAGTCTTGGACGAAGCGGACAAGTAAGAAGGTCACGTGACATACATTTCGCAACACTTAGGACTACTCTGCTGTACAGCGTATTATGTTAGGGGCGAGCGCCACCCCTTGTACTTTTTGGATAGCTAGATAGTAGGGGTGTCAAAATTAATCGTTTCTTCGGTGCACCGCGATGCAGATGTGGACAATAAGGTATCGGTTCAGTAATAATCATAACCGGTTATTATGTACTGACGTCATTTATCTTCTATGCGCTCTGTCGCGAGAGAGGTGAGCGCGAGTATTTACAACACTCAGCCAACTCAGGGCCGGCCCGTGGCATAGGCACCATAGGCAAATGCTAAGGGTGCTGTATATCCAGGGGGGCGCCAGAAATGAGCACGGTTCAGTTGGTTTTGTTTTCAAAATTCCTGACACACATTCAGTTATAGACGGCAATAACTCAAAAACCTCTTACCCTAAAAAGATCTAAAGTGTGTTTCCTACAAAAAGACAAAGCTGGCTATGTTTCACAGCTGTCTTTTTATTTTTTTTTCGCTCGATATTACGACCACTGCTCCGTTTAAGCCCTCGCAATATTTGTTTAGCCGGAAGAGCTCGCACTGAGAGGAGCTCTCAGTAAGGGACCGTCGGAAAAGTGCTTCTTTATTTTTCGTTTTTTTTTTCGTTTTTCTGCTCCGCTCAGCGCGAACTCTCCCTGTTGCGAGGGCTTAAGTGTGTGCGTGCGTGCGTGCGTGCGTGCGTGCGTGCATGCGTGCGTGTGTGTGTGTGTTTGTTTCTTTGGTGCTGTCTATGTTTGTGTATGTGTTTGAATGAGAGATAGTGTGGTACTGTGTGTCTGTGTGTTTATACAAACAGCTTGTTATAGCCTCCCCCCAAAATATAACACTATATATGGAAAGCATCGTCAATGCACCGTGATGCACCGAGATATCGAATCGAACCGAATCGAAGGCATGATAATGGTAACCGAACCGAACCGTGAGACCAGTATAGGTTCACACCTCTACTAGAAAGAGTAGATAGTCAGGACTCGGAAGATCTTCGCGTGTTAATTATACTGTT